CAGTTATTCCAATAATATGACTTACCTCTTCAGTAATGATTTCTTTTGGGCTCTTCTACGGCTACGTCTTTTCTTACTTGCAAATAATCTTTTTCCCTCCGCAGCGCCTTTTATTTCGCTCACTTTTCCCATGATAACAAAAACACGAACTCGAAAAAGTACGAACTCACACTGGGCACCTGAGCGAATTAAAACTAGTCTAGTTGAAAATCCGTGCGCCCTTGGGTCACCTGCAGATTGGCTAGCGGCTGCCTTTGCGAAAGAGCGACATGAATTCGCGTGATCAGAGGGCGCCACGAATCGGTTGCCGTAAAGGCATTTTCTATTTTTCTTCTCACAGGTTCAATTTTCAATCTTCCGAAATAAAATTGATACCTGATTTCAAAAAACTTACATCCACTTGAGGGAAACCCCCATTTGTTATGATTACAAAGAAATTAAGTGTACTAATTTTTTTTTCTGTCGAAAATTTCATAAATAAATACTTTCCCTTATGTAGAATATTTTATTGAAGCGATTGGTACAAACTGCATGAAAATCGGATCATCCGTTAAGAAACTAGAAGAAAATTCGTTTCAAGTGGGCATGGATTCCTCTTAACAAATAAAATCAAGCTGAAATGAATGAAAATATTACGGCGCTCCGGCCCGGCGATCGAAGAGTAAATAATAACAACAAACGTCTTTGAATGCACATGCGCTGACAGTTTTGACAGAAAATTCTCAGCGAATTTCGCGAAAAATTAAAACATATCCAAGTTTTCCGCCCCCTAAATTTCAAATTTTGCGAATCGCATGAAAATTAAAATATGACTGCTGTCACTTGTTTCGTCACCAAAATCAACCAATAGGAATTAAATTCGCATTCGCAATTCGCGATTCGCATCTATATGAACTAACCTTAAGTATACTTAAGGTAAAACACCCAGAAGCTGACAGATCTCCAGTAGTTGACAGCTTTACCATGATCTAGATCAAATAAGAGTTTGCCTGCAATAAACTCCACGAATCCATGCATATAAGATAACTGTCTCCATCTGTTACCCAATGTATGATTTGAGCCTTGACAGAACTTTTCCCGCCATAATGGTGCCATGTTGTATTAACAGGAGCATGATGTTGTGAACTTAAATAGGGGTTTTTAAGTGAATGTATTAAGAAAACTCCAGTGGAAAAGTTGTGATAGCTAAGGTATTTATCACATATTCATGATGAGTAAAATTCAGCTTACAGTAAGATGTAGAAGGGGCTATTTGCTGTATTTGTATACCTTTAATTTGTTCTAGTTTAGGTTTTTCAGGGGGTTGTCAAGTATTAGTTCCAAAATAGGATGTGACTCCAAAAGCTGACAGAGGTGTCAACTTTTGGTTCCAAAGCGGTTTATATCATTTGAATTTGTTTTTTGTCTCTTTTCATTCGATTTGAAATTCATTATCCGTAAATACGACTTTGGCAGTTCTAACGTGCCAATATCCAATCGCTGACACCCCCTGTCAACTTTTGGTGTTTGATATGTCAGCTTCTGATCCTTTCAGATCTTGAAGGTGGAAAAATGGCTACTCCAAAAAAAACTCTCAAAAACTACACAGAAAAGAGTATGCTTTCAGCATTGGAAGATTGTGACAGGGGATTATCAGTAGCTGCATCGGCAAAAAGACATGGTGTACCCAGAATTACTTTACTTTATAAAAAAAATTAGAAATATTCCAGAACTTCGAAAATGGGCCCAGAATCCTATCTCAATAAAGAGGAGGAACGAATTCTTTGTGAATGGATAATTAATACTGCAAAATCAGGGTTTCCAATTAGAAAAAACAGCTACTAGACAGCGTGCAACAATTCATCAGAGAGCTGAAGCGGCCAACCCCTTTTAAAAATGACCGTCCAGGCAAAAAATGGTGTTCACTTTTCTTGAACAGAAATCCTCAAATTTCTCTAAGGACCCCACAAACTCTAACAAACTCCAGAGCTTCCGTCACTCAAGAACGGCTTGATGCTTGGTTCCAACAGGTTTTTGAGTACTTGCAGATTTCCAACTACGACCATATTCTCAATTATCCTGCACGAGTTTTCAACTGCGATGAAGCAGCATTCTTCCTTAATCCCAAGGGAGACAAAGTGTCGACAAAAAGGAGAGAAAAACGTATACCAAGTTGTTAATAATGATGAAAAAGAATGCTTAACAGTTCTTGTCACCGGAAATGCTGCCGGAGATATGCCCCCACCTATGATTTCATTTAGGTATGAACGAATTCCCAAAGAAGTTGCCCTCAGTGTCCCAGAATCATGGGGAATTGGAAAATCAGACTCGGGGTGGATGACGGGGAAGACCTTTTACGAGTTCATAGCGAATATATTCCACCCATGGCTCATAGAGAAACAGATTGAGTTACCAGTAATGTTATTTGTAGACGGTCATGCATCGCACCTTACACTCCATACTAGCCGTTTCTGTGAACACAACGGGATAATTTTAGTAGCCCTCTACCCAAACGCGACGCATTCAATACAGCCTATGGACGTAGCTGTTTTCAGAACCCTAAAGGGTGGTTGGAAAGAAAACACCAAAAAAGTTAGGCTGGAACGCAGTCAGAATCCATTTATAAAAAAGACTGATTTCGCACAACTTTTGAAATATACTATAGACGAAAGGCTCCATCCAAATATCCTGAAAAACGGATTCAGGAAATGTGATCTATGTCCGTGGAACCCTCGAGAAGTGCAGTTGAAAAACGTTTCTGTTTCAAGTGATGATGGAAAAAAAGCAGATCTTGTGAAAGTTAAAAAATTTGAAGAAGGAATGAGGTTTTTAGAAACCCAACGTTCCTATTTCAAGTGATGATGGAAAGAAAGCAGATCTTGTGAAAGTTAAAAAATTTGAAGAAGGAATGAGGTTTTTAGAAACCCAAATTGATGAACAGAAAATTAACAAGTTTAGAAGAATTGATATATAAGAAGGTGCAGTAGAGGACACATCTCTTTTTCTATTATATAAAAAAGTTGAAGGGAATGTGAAAAAGTTGAAGGAAGAAGCACGTGTAAGCATCGACCAAGTCGAAAATTATCCAGAGAATGGAGAAAGTGAGAATTTCGGTGAGAATTCAGGAACAAAGGACAAATTATTAGAAATTGACACACAAAAAGACAAACAATCATCGCCGATAATCTATGTTAATAGTGAACAACCATCGACCTCTCAAGAAAAAACACCAATTAAAATAATTAGCAATATTTTGATACAGAGGACCAACCAAGAAAATGTAGCATCTCCTAGTGAACGTTCGGGTGGAGAACTGATGACGTCTCAGGAAAGAACACCTCTTAAAATAATTAGCTATAACTCATTACAAAACTCCGAGAAAAATCTCGAGGACGATAAAATTATTGTAGTGGATGTTTATAATATATTGTTTAATTATATCATTGAAATCAGGTACCATTTCGAAACAGTCCAACACAGCTCTTCCGAAAGTGTTACGATAGTTAGATTATTCATCAATTTATTGTTTATAGTAATAGGTAGGTTATCAATTAGGTATTGTAGTTACAGAGAACACTCCGGTTTGAACTCTGAAAGAACTAATAACTATTCTATAATAAACCAGTAAAAAGTGAACTATCTTCTGCTGTTCTTCCCTGCACTCCTGAACATGTTTCGATAACTCGAACTACGATCTAATTGAAGACAGGACATTACATGGCGATCCTGCTGGTTACATGTTTGGGGAAATGAAGAACTATATATAATAATCATCTGGTCATCAAGATAATGGGAAAAACACAATCAAAGGAAGAAGTGATCATTTCACAAGCAGGCAACAGCGGAGGAACTACTGCTCAAGGTGACCCTAAACATGGTTACACCCTCTTGGAAGTTTGCGGAGTCGTTATTGGAATGCTGATAATTGCAGGCTTAATCATCTTATGCTATCGTCGAGGCAAAAAATCCATAGAGAAGAAGATAAGAAGAGAAATAATAAGAAGTCAAGAGTTAGTCTAAAACTGATCGGCCGTACCGGTGATCAGCATCGTGGGAACAGATTAGTAGGGCGCAATGCCACTAGTTTGCAACGCGGGATATATGATGCAGTATGCAGTTATGCTGAGAAATCAAGAAAGTAATGAATTGGGGTCCAGAATAAAAGTATATGTCGTCCAAGTAGTAAGTCATTTTTGTAATTTTTTTATTAATGAATAGGTTAGAAGAATTTGATAAATCATCTAAGGTGTTGACGGTGTTACGTAATATAAAAAAAAGAACCGGCAGAGCGTAGAGAATCTTTGGCTAGAGTTAACAAGTTTATAGTTGATATTAATATCCTAGAAGCTGAGTTTTTGAAAATTAGAGATAGTTGTAGTAAAGATGAAACATTGCAAGTAGATTTTGATGGTTATTTAGGTATAATAGGAAACAAATTACAGGAAGCTAAGACAATTCTGACAAATAGACTCAAAAACATTCATATTAAAGAGGAAGTAAAAGTTTCAAAAATGTCTGAAAAATTCGATTTGCGAACCGCAGCATCTTTATTACCATCTATGGACGGTACTGAAGATGTTACGAAGCAGTTAATTGATGCCATTGAGTTATACAGCGACTTGCTTGACAATGATGGAAAATCTTTCTTAATCAGATATGTATTGAAAGCAAAAATTACGCAATGTGCAAAATTGAGGCTACGAACAACTTACAATAATGTTGCAGATTTAGTATCAGATATAAAGAACAACCTATTACCGAAAAAATCTGCAGCATCATTGGCTTCCCAAATGCATAGTATTAGACAGGACACCAAAAGTATCGATGATTATGCAAGAAATATTGAACAACTCATGTTAGATCTAACTTTAGCGCAAGCGGACGGAGACGAAAATTCTGTTAAAATTTTAAAATCGGTCAATGAAAAAATAGCAATTGATGCATTCTCGAACGGATTGAGAAATAGAGATCTAAGAACTATAGTAAAGGCTAGAAACTATGTGCAATTAAAAGACGCTATAATGGGAGCAAAAGAGGAAGATTTAGCTTGTAATTCAACTAAAAATAATTCTCAGGCAAAAGAAAAAATCCCATCGGTAGTAATTTCCAAAGCATGGCAGGATTATCACGAATCGAAAGAGAGAAAGAAAAAGGAGGAAGAAGAGAGAAAGATAAAGAAAGCTGAGGAACGAAGAAACAAGAGAGAACTGCAGATCAAATTGAAAGAACAGAAAAAGGCAGCAAAAGACAATAAAGCTAAAGTTAACAACCATTCATCTAAAAAACGAACCTACAGGTGTAGTTTTTCGTCAGATTCTGAAACGTCTGCCTCTTGGAAGTCTTCCGGAAGTAGCGATGGAATTCAGAATGATAATATGGGTGGAAATGGCGATGAAGAAGAACAGTTTCACGATGAAAATATGGATGGAAATGGAGATGAAGGAGAACAATTATTAGTTGACATTGGTAACCAGGACAGGGTATTCAAGGAGAGTGATCATGTTTTAGTCGAGTTTCCTGGAAGAAGGCGACAGCACAAATATGTCTGTGTTATTCAAAGACTGTTGTCGGAGGGCGAAGCTGAAGTTGTCGCAATGAAACGATCTGAAAATACAGAGTTCTTCAAACTGAATGAAGATGATGTTAGCATAATTTATTTGAAACAGATATTGAAAAAACTCATTATTCCAGACATGATTATCTGCGGAGATCGTTTGAAATATAAATTCAAAGAGGAATTATCTGTCGATGGCTAGTACTTATATGATTATCTATAAGTATAACCTTCATCTTGCTCGATTCTAGCTTGAAAAAGCTGTTTGTTTTTTTATTTTTCGAATCATCTTGATCATTTACTTACCTATGCTTTCACCTCATGCATTCACCATTCCACCAGAGTTGAGTTTTATCAGCTAAATTATGTTTGTATCGTAATATATGCATTATTAAAAAAGTATTCTAGATTTTTTCTAATATTTTCATCTGAAATACAAGGTGTCAACTGATGGGTCTAAGACTGTTAGCTAATGGAATTGAAGACAAGCCATGTAAAATTTTGGTGTGAACAGCGTTCCTCACTTTTTTTCAACTATTTGACTACAACAGACACTTAGTAATATTTGTATCTTGATATGGCTTCGAACTACTTGATTTGATACAATGAATAAAATAATTTTGACTGAAATGTCAGCTTTTGGTTCAAAATGTTGTCAAGAAATGGGTATATCCAAATTTTCATAGGTCAGCTATTGGGTATTTTACACTAATTGAAAAAAATAAATGATATTTTTAAAAGACTAATCAATGATGGTGTTTTCACGATTATAAGAAGTACAAAACACCATGAGACACATCAACATCATATTACAATTCGATAAAGAATTTAATAAGCCCATAAGGAATTATATTGATTCTGAAATTGTCCTTAACTTGTCAGCTACTGGGTATTTTACCTTATTTGGTTATACCAAATTATGCAGTTTAGTTTAGTTTAGTTTAGTTTAGTTTAGTTTCAAGAGAAGGGCCGATTTATTTTTCATTGGACTTTTTTACACTCATCTCTGTTGTAGGTTATATTCTCAATGGTAAAAGTGATCAAAGACATAGATTGTTGAAAAGCCAGGGATCTTGTAAGATGAATAGTTCTTGCACAAGTGAAATCAAAGTTATTAAAGAAAACAACAAAATTCTAGTAGAGTGGCAGAAAGTCCATTATGGTCATAAGCTTGAAATACAACATATTAGATTGCCAAACACTGAAAAACAAAATATTGCCACAAAGATCACAAATGGTGTTGCAACCCAAAGGTAGGTAAACATTATTATATAGTATTATCCAAGATTTAATAATAAACAGTTCTTATCCCAATTGCTGGAAAATTCTGTGATCTTGATGTATTTACTTATCAACTTTGAATTATTCATCTTCTACTCAGAGCATTAACCTAACCATTTTTTTCACAGAATCTTAGAGTCTACTCGTGATAATATTGGTGAAAATTTGAAAAGAGTAGATTTGTTAACTACTAAGGATTTGAGAAATATAAAAATAAGCTATGGTCTTGAATTGAAAGATGGAAAGCGAGATTCTAATGATGCCATTTCTGTGGCTCTTTGGGTGAAGGAATGTGAAAATCTCAAAGAAAATCCAATTTTATTCTATAAAGAGCAAGGAAAGGACCATAGTATTTTAAAAAAAGAGGAGGGACTTTTGCTTGATAATAATGAACACATTTCAAAGACGAATGATAAAACAGTTTCCATCTACAATTACCATAGATAGTACCCATGGTCTAAATGACTATGAATTTGAACTGACAACCATTATGGTCCTAGATGAATATCACCATGGTTTTCCAGTAGCTGAAATGTTCACTAATAGAAAAGATACCATAGTGGGAGTATTTTTTTCAGCAATAAAGGACACAATAGGTATGCACAATCTTTCATTTATTTGTATTGGTGGTGGTCATGTGGTGGTTGGTAGTTATATGGTTGTTTTATTTCAGGAGTCATTCATTGTACATTTTTCATGTCAGATATGGCTGAGGTGTTTTTTAATGCATGGTATAGGGTGATGGGTCTGCCTTATCCACAACATTCATTTTGCTCCTGGCATGTTGACAGAGCATGGCAGAGCAATTTAAATAAAATTTCCAACAAGGACAAGCGTTCAGAAATTTACAAAATATTGAAAATATTGCAACAAGAAACTCCTGAATCGAACTTTGTTTCAGCTTTGGATAATTCTATAATTTATATGTGCAACAATGAAGACACAAGACTTTTTGGAGAGTATTTTTTCAATACCTACAGCCATAATTTCAAGAAATGGGCATACTGTTTTAGAAAAGAAGCTAGCATTAACACGAATATGCATTTGGAGTCAATGCATGATGTTATTAAATATTTCTACTTGGAAAGAAAGACAGTAAAACACCTTGATGAGAGTTTGAACATCGGTATTAAAATATGTCAGAGACAAGGGTGTAGAACGAATTATCAGATTGAGCAAGGGTGAACATACCAAACAAACAAGACTGATATCTCAGAATCACAAAGAGGCAATTGAAAATGGCAATGAGTATACAATCCTGAAAATTTGTAATAGCTGGAAAATTTCAAAAAATCTAAATAGTTCATATACTATTCACCAGATATTACAATCAAAATGTTGTGAACAATTATGTTTGTTCTGTGAGGCATGTAATCATATGTTTTCATGTGAGTGCAAATTCTATACAGAAAAAAAAATTATGTGCAAACATATCCATATGATAATAACATTTACAAAAAAAGAAGAACACACAAAATTGAAATCTACTGATAAGGAAGTTTCAATATCTGAATGCCTATCAGCTCTAGGGAAAGAACATCAAGAATCAAACATTGGAAGCAGGAAAGAAAAAACAAAAGAATTGATAATGAGATTTGAAAGTTTAGATTTTCATCAGCTTGATGATGATACTATTACTAAAATACTAAAATTCATCCATAATAAATAATCTAATCTAAATCTTTATCTAAATGCACAACATTGTCAGGAATTAATAATGAAATGAAATCGAAAAATAAATCTTCTAAAAGATACATTGAGCCACAAGTTATTAGGTTTAGATCAACAAAAAAAAAGTGCATTCAGAAAAAAACAACATTTCAACGGGCCTTTTCACAAGAACTGACAACAATTCAAGAAAATCTAGCACATGCACCTGGAGATATATTTGTTCATAAATCAGTTCAACCAATAAGTGAATCACCAATATTGTTGATTATATATTATATTATCAATTATTATCATTTCAATATGTGTGTTTTTCCTCTTATTTTTATCAACTTACCAACCCATAAATGTGTACCTATGAGTAATTAAATGTATCACTTATTTAATTCATATCTATTATTATCTTAAATTCTAGCAGAATTGATAGTATAATATAAAATATATAATATGATGTTTATTCAGTTCAATAAATAACGATTATCAATATTATTATCATTATTAGGTATAATAAATGCACAGTGCACACACTATATATTATTATACACACAGTATATTATATACCATTGTGCCCTTAATTTCATATTATCATCAGTAGTAATAGTATTCCAAACATATAATGAAAATATCATGAACATGATGAACCTTTCTTTTACACATTTGTTTTTTGAAAGGAACTTGAGATTCATTCTTTGTGAACATATTTTGGTGGGGTGAAATCTCCATGTGATTAATTCATTCATATTGTGTTATTTTCATGAGCTACCTGTTTTTTATATGGTTTGTTTGTATGTATGTTTTGATAATTGTTGATATTGTTTCATTGATATTGGTAATAAGTTGGAAGTCTGTAAATAAAACTTTTGGTAGTGTCATATATTATTTTTATCATCATTATTATTTTGTTTAGTTTTGTTCTTTATTGTACAGAAAAATAGTCTTGTAAACATTTTGTTTATAAATAAATTCAGTTTTATCTACATAAATTTTTATTAGCGTAGTTCCGTTACATTTTGAATTTCCCGCTAGCTTCTAGTTAATGTATCGAGCACTGGCAACAGTGGAATGAAAATTGACAAGTGTCAATGTCAATGTGGTTTAGGACAGTGACCAAGGATATGTTCCAAAAGTCACCGGAAATGCGGTTAGGTGTTCCGAAAATCCCCGCTAGATCGGTGATACTGAAAAAGTGGTGACATTTGAAACATGGTTACCTGAAAGCTGGTGAACCAAACGTCAATTCACTAACCAATGCTTCTGTTACGGTGAGAGATGGGTGAGAGGTGAGATTGACAGGTGACAAATGGAAAAGGAAAACTGTTTTTGTTGTTATTTGTTATTTGAGGCTAGCTTGAGGCCGATTGCCCATCTTTGTGCAATATTTATGGATTGTTGTTGCAGTATTTCACTATGGTACTTTTTCTTTTAATTACATATAAGTACGTATATCATTAATTGCGATTGTCTTTTAGGATCTTGAACTGACTAAAGATATGTGTTTTTGTGGTTATTGCCAGGAAGAATTGGGCACACTGGCAAATCTGATGGCTGCCTCATGTATTTCTCACATATGTTTAAAATCGTATGATGATTTAAATGTCGACATGAAAACACATAAAATTTGGGGAAGTTCTCTCAAACCTTGTGCAGAAAGAATTGAAACTGATAGAAATAACAATGCTAGTAGCAGTGGAAGTTCTACCAAGCCTCCTGCTGAACCTTGTAAAGAAAGAAATAAAACTGATAGAGAGAACAAGGCTAGTAGCAGCGGAAGTTCTACCAAGCCTCCCTCTGATAGAAAAGAGGACACTAATAATTGGTCAGACCAGGAGACCAAGCTTCTGATATGCCTCTACACAGAGCATAAACATAAATTTTTATCTCCAATGTACAACAAAAAGAATGTATGGAACATCATTAGTGAGAGATTGAAAGAGTTGGGAACAAATAAATCTGCATTGAAATGTGATGAAAAATGGAGGAATATGAAAAAAACTTATGATAAGGTTCTTAAAGATAAGAAATTAACTGGAAATTCTAATTCATATTGGAGATATTTTGACGATTTCCATGAAATATATTTTCATGACCCACTATGTACAGTGTCCAGTACAGGGTCAATAAAAACCAGTATAGCTCCAAAAATATCTGAAGATGTGCCAATAGAAACTAGTTCGGAGGAACAACTTGCCAAGAAACGCAAGGTAGAGAAAGCTAAAGAAAGTAAAACCCTAACTTCTGCCCAAATTGAAGACAGACGACAGCAACGTCATAAAGAAAAAATGAAAATGAAGGCTGAAATGTTCAGTTGGTTCAAGGAAAATTTTGGATCGAATAGGCCAAAAGAAGGTAACAACTAAAGCAGCTAGTGCTACATTCTCTTGAAAAAATCACCTGATGAACTGATCATAATATATTTTATTTTTTTCTTAGAGATGTTTACTTCAGTTTTTAGTGTTGCAGAACATAGTTTTTGTTCCAAAGATCATTGTGATTTTTCCTATGAAATATGATTTAGTTCGTGTTTAGAACATGGAAGATTAGACTGTTATTTTCTCATGTGGGTTTGAAATAAAAGTATTTTGTTATTTTATTGAATATTTATTAAATCATCCCATTCATTATATATTCTCGTTTTCTTACTCCTACTCTCTGTAAAGCTGAATATACTGCTTCATTTATAGGATTATTATCATCATCTATATCATCTATTTCAACATTATTCACATTAATTATATCATTTTGAATAATACAGATATTGTGAAGTATACAACAAGCCATTATATACTTGCAGGTCCATTCTACACATTTCATTTCAATATATTTCAATCGTCGAAATCTTCTTTTGAGTAAGGCAAAAGCTCTTTCTATTGTGGATCTTGATTTCGAAAGATTATAGTTGAATCTTCTTTGGGGCTCTGTAAGATGGCCATTATCTTTGAAAGGTACCATCAAAGTTTGCAGACATGGATAAGCTTTATCTCCAAGTAGATGTGAGTCATGTGGAAATTTTTCTTCTCTCAAAGTAGTTAAATACTCAAACACCTCACTTCTCTTCAAAACATTGGAATCATGAGTTGAACCGACTTCTCCTGCATAGCAATGAGTGAATAACATTCTATGGTCACATACAGCCTGAAACATTCAAGTTGAAACTACTTAACTCAAATAAATTGTAATAATAAATTGTAATCTATCTTACCTGGAGAATCAATGCTGGAAAGTTCTTTCTTGTTATATAAGAAATTCCATTTTGTTTAGGTTGACTTATTGGAATATAGCAGCCATCAATAATCCCTACTGTGTTTGGAAAACCCATATCATTAAAATGAGTTTGAACCCTCTGAACGTAATCTCCACTTGGCCATTTGATATAACTTGGTGCCAGCTCTAGAATCGCCATTGTTACTTTCCTCACTGCTCGTAAACCAGTGGCTTTACCTACATTGAAGCTGCGAGATATTGATCTGAAAATAAACGTACTTTTGAAAAATCAGCAAGTTTTTCAACATTCAGTTTGATGAGACAGGATCTGGGGAATGTTTTTACCCCATTTAGTCATGTCTGATAAGTTCTGAACAAGTTTGAGTATAATAAATTATCATACAAAATAGGTTCTAAGATTTTCCCAAGATACAAATGAATGATACCATACCTGTAACTTTCTGGAGTTGAAAAATAGGTGAGAGCCAGTAAAAGATGTTCTTTCGCTGAAAGTGGGTGTCTGCCAATTATATTTTCACCTAATATTTTATTTTCGAGAACAGAGAGCAGATGGTTGAATGTGGATCTGTACATTCTGAAATGTTTTCTGAACTCTCCATCAGTATAAGAATCTACAACCTCTTCCACAAAATTTCTAATTTTTGGCTTGAGAACTAGGGGTCCTCTATGATTTTCGTCTTCCTCTGACGACTCGTCTGATGTCAAAAGTAATTCTTGAAAAAAGAATCCACATACTTCGTAATTCATTTTTGAAACTTTTATAAAATTTTAAACTTCGTCTATTCAGCTATTTTTCTTTGTACATAATTGTTATTGTTAATTGTCATTTTTCGTCACAACGGTCACAAATGTCACCATAGTGTTCCTAAAGTAACCAGCAATAATAAATTCTTCAGATAACCGCTGTCAAATTTCTGGTTAGGTTAGGTTAGCAACTGGTTACTTTTGGAACATATCCCAAGGTGGATATCCACCTTTACAGTGACATATGTTTTTGACATTGTTTTGACACTCACTCTCTTGTATTTTCCCGAGCATCGAACAAGCATGTATGTAGAAGGGAAAAATGAATTATTTAATTAAAACCAAATATAAACTATATCATCGAGTATTTATTGAGTCAAGGATCTAACAATTTGGCGACGAGGAAAAAGTAGAGGTGGATATTTTCCGCGGATTCTTCCCACACCGTTTACTGGAATATAAGTTCTGATCGGTGAATTGCAGTGACAATGCCTAGTGGAGGAGCGCCTACGCCTCAGACAGCCCAACAAATAACGGTAGTTGGCAATGTATCTAGCTTGGCAGTGTTCAAGCAGGGCGATGATTTCGAAATTTTTGAAGAGCGCTTGGAGCAATATCTACTTGCAAATTCAGTGGAAGCAAGCAGAAGGGTTGCAGTCTTGTTAACTTCAATCAGTGAGGATGTTTACAAAACACTGAAAAACCTTTGTGACCCACAGAAGCCCAAGGAAAGCACTTATGAGCAACTTATTACCTTATTATCAACCCAATTTAAACCAAGTCTGTCTACTTACAGAAGGCGAAAATAGTATTCGATAGTTCGAGGCAGGAGCCACAAGAATCAGTGAATCAATGGTACGTGAAGGTTAAAAATGCTGCTTCACAATGTAGTTTTGCAGGCAACATGCTCATGGAAAGAGTTAAGGATAAGTTTGTTGTGGGTATGAGACCTGGGCCAGTTCAAGACAAACTATGTGAAGAGTCTTCAGACAAGCAGTTGAAGGATTTATTGGAAGCTGCACTGAATAGGGAGGCTGCACTTTTAAAGGCGAATAAGAGCATTGTGGTGCACCGTGTGCACAAGTTCCAAAGAGTAAAGAAAGAGCAGGTAGTAGTTAAATCAAAAGATGCAAAGAAGAGTAATGGAATAGACCAATTGCAGCTGACGTCACAAAATGGCGGACATCAGCTGATCGGGGGACAAACAAAGCATTCGGAAGCGTGGTGTGGTATAGCGTTGCATTGTTTTTTTGGTGAATTCTTGTGTTTTTTGTGATTTTTATGAACTTTGAAGAGTCTAGTGTTCTTCTCAACTATTGACATATCGTAAGAAGCGTTTATTATCATGAAAAATCTAAAATTTCTCCTAATAATGATGTTTTAGCCTGGTGGTGTCAGTGTCTGAAAGTATCACAGTTTTTCTGGTTGTTCTTGAGCTTCTTCATATTTTGCATCGAAATGGTGAGTGAAAAACATTAGTTTACATTTTAATCCTTCAATACATTATTTGTGTGTTTCAGGCTAGGTCAGATTATATTAAAAAATTGGACTTTATTGGAGGTACTGATCCATATGCCTTGAAACTGTCAAGAGTTTGATGTGCCTTTGGATGATATTCCAAAGATTTCGAAAAATATTATCCTGGATTATTTCCTGTTCAGTGTGAGCCCGTCCACATATTTTGAAATAAGAGCTTGCAAAAGTTTGGATGCATTTGCACAGTTAGCTTGCAAGTGGATTGAATCTCTCTGTGCCAAGAAATTGAATAACAATTTTCTCATATTTGGGAAGGTAAGTTTAGATTCATGAAATTGATTTCAGCTCACTAAAGGTGAATTATTGTAGGTTCGCCATTCTCAAAGAGTTTCAGAAACAGCTCTCAAACCTTGGGTTGTTGTTTCTGAAAATGGAGCAATCCTTACAGCTCACTGTACTTGTGTAGCTGGGTTAGGAGAAGTATGCACACATGTGGCTTCAGTACTTTTTGCCTTAGAGTTTGCTGGAACTAGATCTGATGAAAAGTCAGTTACAGATGTTTTAGCCGGTTGGATTGGGCCCAGCAAAAAAGGACTGTTTTATAGGAGACTGGCGGATATTGATTTTTCCACACCAAAAAAACTGTCGATGGGTGACACTGGTAGGGATACAAATATATTGGAAAAAAAAGAAGTGCCATCGTTGTCAAAGAGTGAAATGGATTCATTTACTCAAAAAATTATAGATTTGGATATGATGCCAGCATATATGCCTTAAAAAATAAGGAATTCAATCCAGTCAAAACATTGGATGAGAAGTTTCCTATTTCATTATTGACCCTTTTTGAAGATCAGTATGTTGACCTTGATTTGGAAGAACTCCGCAGTATTTCTAAGAGATTGCATTCGAATGTAACAGCTGATCAAGCTTTGGCAGTTTTTGAGGCAACCACAAAACAAAGTGAAGAAAAGTTGTGGTTTGAATTTCGAGCTGGCAGAATCACTGCATCAAAATTCAAATCAGCTTGTCGCACAAGAATTGAAAAGCCAGCAATGTCTTTGATAAGGAGTATTTGTTATCCAGCATCACAGAAAAAATTTTTTAGGGCAGGAGTTTATGGTTGTAGGCATGAAAAAGATGCTTTGAAGGCATATATTGATGCACACAAGAAACAACATAAACAGGCACATGTTGAAGATTGTGGACTGATTATCAATGTGGATTACCCATTCTTTGGTGCCACTCCAGATGGATTTTTGCATTGTGAAGAATGTGGAACAGGTTGCATTGAGGTGAAATGTCCATACTGTGTGAGAGATGTTTCTGCAGAAGAAATAATTCAATTCAAAAGCTCCTGTCTTGTCATTGAAAATGAAGATTTTGTATTAGATAGAAAGCACTCATACTTTTATCAAGTTCAAAAGCAATTGGCTCTTTCCACAAAACCATTTTGTGATTTTGTCGTATGGACTCCAAAAAGTTTTATTTGCCAGAGGATATTCCAAGATGAAGATTTTTGGCTTCAGGAGAGTGCTAAAGCAAAGAGATTTTTTGGGGAAGTACTCATGCCAGAATTATTAGGTCAATATTATACAAGAAAAGTTAGTTTTTTTTCCCTATTGAATTCCCAAAAAATAATATTTCTTTTTTAGCAGTTGAACAAGCCTAAGAATACAGGAGCAAACAAAGTCCAGGAAACGGAAGAGAGTGTATGTTAATCCATTTCCCATTTTTTATCCAATACTAATTTTTTATTTAATTATTTTCAGATACCATCTACTTCACATCATGAAAATTCTATTTATTACCAGGAAATTGATTTCCAGGGAACAGAAGAGAGTGTATGTTAATCCATTTCACATTTTTTATCTAATACTAATTTTTTATTTGATTATTTTCAGATACCATCTACTTCACCTCATGACAATTCCATTTATTATCAGGAAATTGATTTCCAGGGAACAGAAGAGAGTGTATGTTAATCCATTTCACATTTTTTATCCAATACTAATTTTTTATTCAATTATTTTCAGATACCATCTACTTCACATCATGACAATTCTGTTTATTACCAGGAAATTGATTTCCAGGAAACAGAAGAGAGTGTATGTTAATCCATTTCACATTTTTT